ATTAGAAAAAATATTGTTTGAGGGTAATATAGTCTTTTTGCACAGTCAGTCAGATGCAAAATCAAACATCAAGTTTCAGTCAGAAGTTAACTCAGTCAAACTTCTAACTCAGTCAACTTCTAACTCAGTCAGTTCTAACCCGGTTAGCAACTATCAAACGACCCCTTAGAGTAAAGTTAAGTACGGAATGATAGTATTCACAGAATTCACACAGATTAAATTTTGTCAGATCCATTGATAAGGTCATTCTTTTGAGCTAAGTATGAACTGTCACACTTCAACTATAAGACTTTATTATTCTAGAAATAGGTTTTTTGATTTGGATTTAGTATTTGGATATTGGAACATTATAACAACAATTATTAGATAATGTTATGATATATTGAGATATAGTCATCACATTAATACTTGTTGTGTTCTATATTAACATGTTTAATCCATGAATAATGTTATTATTCTAAAAGTTCATAGTCGATTATAATTGTGGGAGCAAATATGAAGTAAGACTAATCTGAATTGGATTGGTTGACCCTCACTAGATGAAAGTAGGCAAGTGGTTGTAACCAAGTTTCATAGGTACTTGTCAGAGAACTAGTATTGAACTGACCCGCATCAAGATCATCTCATGGATCGTTGTCATGAATGATACTTGATTAAAAGGTACTATCTTTGTATCCTTAACACCTGAGATACATAGAGGGACTTTAGTGTAGGGAGTACTATGCTTTGATATGGTCAAATGTTGTTCCTTAACCGGGCGGTTATAAAAGCCATTTTCAGGTATAGTGTGAACTATGCAAGAGGCTTATGTAGTCAAGATGGGATTTGTTCCTCTTATGTGTTGAGAGTTAGACATCGAAGGCGCCTTACCAAAAGCTGAACAACTAATGAGATTGATTGCGATCCGTATCTCATGTTCAACATGATGTCTGTAGCAAAGGGATAACTTATAAACTTACCTTATAGACCAATTGTAGCTTTGAGATTTTTGGGAATTAGGAGTTGATAGAATGGCACAAAGTCGTATGTTGTTGGGGGCAATGAAATGTTGCTAGACGTTCACCATTGTCTATATCAATCTAATATGAGTCTTGCGCAAGTGGGAGATTGAAAGGTCTAGTATGCTCAAGAGTTATATTAAAGTGATATTGCTAATTAACATATGATACTAATGGGTCACACTAACAACAACTTGACATAATTGATTATTTATTAGAAATTGATTTTAATAAATATTCAATAAAACTCTTATAATTAATTGGAAATTATTTATTTCATGGAAATATTAATTTTCGATTGCAAGTAACATAATATATCATATGATATGATTTATTAAGTCATGTACATTATTTTGGACTAGAAAGACTTTTTTCTTTTAGCCAAAATCCAAAGTTTATATTTTATAAAAGAAGTTTACAAAATTTATAAACTTTTGTCTTCTTTTATATATTTATAAGAATGAATAAAAGAAGCATGGTCTTTTGATTATTTAAATCAAAAGAAAGCATGGCTTAAAGTTATGGGGAACATTAAGGACATGGTAGGTCTTAAAGTGCTAATACCTTATGGGTATTACCTTTGCTTTAAGACCATAACATGAAGACTTTCATTTTTGGTGCTTTTTAGTGTAAAAAATCGTGACCTCTCTCCCACTCTTACTTCTCTCTAGTTTTTGGTTAAAAACTTGAAGAATACTTGCTTATCTTTTGCTCTCTTGAAGTTCATATTGGTTATGAACTTCAAGCTTAAGAGTTAAGAGTTTATGGACTAGAATCTACATCAAGTTGAGTCATTGTTGTTGTCTCAAAGGTTCCACATTCTTCATCAACTTCCAAGCCTCCCACGAGGATCCAAAGAACAACAAAGGTTGTTATTTCTTCATCCTTTCTATGGTTGGCATTTAATCTTTCTATAACTTGCAAGAAGATCCTTGTTGGGTATAAAATGTTTATGTTATGTTCTAAAATAAAGTCTTCCGTTTGCCAATCTTTGTAGTTTTTGAAACTAATTTTGACTAAAACCCAACAATTCATAGGAGTTTAAGAAACAAAAATTACAATCACCGAAATTAGATTACAATTACCATAGAGATTAGATTATAGTTTTTCTAAGGATGAGAGATTAAACCTAAAAGTAGCAAAGTGGGTTCAGTCGAAGAGCTTGAAGAAGAATCCAAGTGTTGATTCCCTGCATATCTTGAAGAAGATTCCAAGTGTCGATGCCATGCATCACTCGAGCAGGAATCGACTGATGTTCTTGTTAGATTGATTTTGGTTCAATTGAAGGAGAAATCAAAGACAGCACATGCTATTGAATCCAAGAAATGTTTCTTGGGTACTTGGTAATTCACAACTTTAATTGATTTACTGTTCCATCAATCGACATATAATCAAAAACTTAAAAAACACCCAATTCAAATTCCAATCAATGGATTCAAATTGTGTGGATTTAACAATCGAGGAAAGCATTGAAGGCACTGGAATCGCTAGTGAATATTCAAGCAGTTGCGAGATGTTATTTAGTGAGGTAAGAAGCAACAATGTGACCCAAGATGAGAATGACAAAATTACTGGAGGATACAAGATCGGAAAACTGAGCAGTTCTTGAATTAGGGGAGACTAAACCGATGTTGGTGGGGAACTCACTGGCTCTGCAAGCGGAACGACAACGGTTAGTGGAGCTGTCGTAGGGCTTGTTGTCGGAGTCGTCGTAGGGCTTGGCGTGAAGTGAGGCGGCATCGTTCAACAAAGGAAGGCGACGTTCTAGATTTGAAACGATATTGATAGCTGGAACCAGAGATATGGAAACATGACTCTTTGTTAACCTCTTTTGTCGGAGGAGGTAGCAGTTCGAGTTGCCGAAACCGTCGCGATGTATGGTGGCTCCGACTATGGCGTCCAACGGAAGAGAGATCACTTGTGAAAGAGTGTTATTAGTTGGATTCTTTTCTATGGTACCGTTTATCGAGAGAGAGAGAGAGAGAGAGAGAGAGAGAGAGAGGTGAAACCTTTTTATTTTTAATTATAAAAATTATTTAATAAGTATTAAATCTTTTAAAAAATGGAAAATAGATACAAGAAGGTCATAACATTCATTTCAATACTCGGAGGAACCAAATCCGCAACGAAAATAGCTTAAAATGACTATGAAACCAAAAAAATCGAAGCTTGGACTAAACCTTAAAAAAAAAAAAAAAACATTTTACGGTTTTGTCAGTTTTAAAAAAATACACGACAACTGTAAAGGTAAAAAGACAAAAACTCTAATTTAGTCTACAATTTTTGGATAACTTATAATCAACTATAACGATAGCAATGTATTTATTTTTTAATAGATGTTTTTTTTTTCTGTTCCGAAACTCCGAGTTGCATATATATTTTTTTCCCTAAAACATGTTTTTGTCTATTTCAAATATACTTAATGACGAATTCAAGTTATATCATTTTAAAACTAAAAAAAAATACATTGATGTTCATATCCTCTATTTTTCTTGCCTAATAATATTCTTAAATGAACATATATTTATACAATATAAATTCTAATATTTGATGTGATATATGTACACTTTGTAATGAAAAACCATTTATTTTTATTTTAACAAAATGGCCATACATATAGTAAATTCCCAAATTTCCATGTGCCTATTGTTCGAGTTGACTTAAGACATTCATATGAGGCTTTCTTTGCAAACCACCCCATTGTTTCTTTTAAAGTGTCAAAAGAACTATATAATTGCATACTTAAAATGATTATGAAAAAGTAAAAAGATTTAAATGTCAAAAAGCCATGCATCGTACGTGTTTATGTTCGGTGAAATATAATATCCGTGTCAATGAACAAACAACAATTTAGTTTTTCATGTGCTAGGTGTGATTTTCCATATATCTAATAATTTTGTTTATGTTTCTTAGAATATCTATAATTATTAATCTTTAATATTATTTATTATGAATATTACATGGTATCTAATAGTAATAACCTCTTTATTGCCTATCTAATAGTATTAACATCCAAGCATGCTTTCACCAGAGATGTTTTTATATAAAGATTGTATTTGCCACTCTAGCTATAAAATCATATTTTAATTTATAAAATAGTTTATCCATAAATTATATGATTTTTTCCAAAATCTCTAGAGATTTTGTAAAAAAAGAAAGATAGTAAAGAGCTGCCAAAATACAAAAACAGTTAACAATGAATATATGCCAATAACGCGAAAAAACACCTTTCTAGCCAATCTAAAGAAAATTGTTCTGCCTATGCCTTCAAATAAAACAGGAAAAAAATTAGCTTATAAACTAGTTTATAAAATACTATAATATATTTTTATGGTATCATCAAATACTAAATTGCAATAAGCTAAAAAAATAAGATAATTTATGCACATGAAACACGACCAAAGCTATTATCAAATCGATCTGAACTGTAACTTCTTTTGAATCGAAGAGAACAATGCGAATAGTTCAGGAGGCCTTTAATCAAACCCTTAATTAAGTGTTGGGTTTAATAAATACTCTCGGCCAATCATATCATTCTCCAAATGGGATGGGGTGTAGGCACTTTTTAACAAAAAGTTTGAGGAGATTTTTTATATAGGTTGGTTGATTGGTTAAAAATGTTCAAAAATTGGTCGGAACCAACTATGTTTTGTTGAGTCAAACATTTTTTTAAGAGTTTTCTTTTATAAAATATAGTCTTTTTAAGACGATTACAAATATATTTTATAAAAAAACATTTTGAATTCTTTTTATGCATTAAAACTATTTTTTCATTTGTTGGACCAATTTCTTGAACTGAAGTTTACGTTTATCCATTTGACATTTTAAAGAAAGAACATGACTCAAATCAACATATTCAATTACAAAATAACTAAATTATCAATTCAAGAATAATATATGATGTATTTTCAAATTGAATTTGTATTTATTATTATTTAAGTAGGAGGGTGAAGTGTGGCATGTGAGGGTATTTAAATAGAAGCATAGCCCACAGGTTTCTCTCATGCACTTCTTCATCTTCATTCTTTCATATCTTTCCATCAATCCCATTCTTTCTTTAAATATTTTCGTACAAAATAAAAAAAGGAAGCAAAAAGCATAAACATGTCCTCTAGAAGATCAAGAACAAGACAATCATCAACGACATCAAGAATCAGTGACGACCAAATCAACGATCTTGTTTCCAAGCTACAACAACTTCTTCCTGAAATCCGCAATAGCCGTTCTGATAAGGTATTCATTCATACGAAACCAATTAAGTGATCACAATCATTATGATTCGGTTTTAACTTTGAACAATACAATTACATTTGACATATCAACATTTTCCCATAATTAAATTTTGTAAGTTTTCACGCTGGTTTCAAGTTAAACTCAAGTATAATAGAAATGAATATTTGAAGTTCTTTATGTATAATTTTTATATAAGAGTTCTAAAACGCAATCATTATATATAATTATATGATTTACCATGATTTTTAAACTAAAATTGATCCCTACTACCCGCAATAAACTTGGGGTCAATTAGTTTTATAGGCTTGTGTCATAATCGATAATATATACCCATCGATGTAGACCAAATAACTTTAACAAAAATCATATACTATAAAATTAAGTGTTTGTATCTTCAAACAATAGTTATTATTTTTGATCTTTTGTGTCTTTCTCACATATTAAATAAACATGTTTGAATGTATATATTCTGTACTTTCATACACACACGTATTTCGATGAGTTGAAATAATAATGTTTAATTTATTGATATTGTCTATACGTCTTTTAATGCATAAATAAATAATAAACTGACGATTTAATACCGAACCAATATAGGTGTCGGCGTCAAAAGTGCTACAAGAGACATGTAACTACATCAGAAGCTTGCATCGAGAGGTTGACGATTTAAGTGAACGACTCTCCGAGTTGCTTGAAAATACTGATTCGACTCAGGCTTCCATTATTAGGAGTTTACTCTCACAATAACTAAATCATATAATCATATTCGCTACACAAATAATTACCATTTCTTCCTTAATCCTTTTTTCTTAATTCTTACAATGTACGGTGTCGTACTAGGTAACTTCTTGGGTCTTTTTTGTCATCGTACGTACATCCGAAGATGAGTTTTTAGACTTCTTTCAGATAAATGGACTTACTTAATTTGCTTATTAGTTGAGTATTAAAAATATGTAATAAAGGGATTAATTTTTGGAGGATTTTCATACTAGGAGTAGCCATATATAGTTTATTTTCTTCTAAATCTAATACACTTTTTTGGTCGTTTGTAACTTAAATGTCTGATCTAAATGATTGTGACGTTTGTAAAATGTATGATTGGCGAAATAAAAATCTTATGATGCATTCCAATATCTTGGACCCCATCACTCAAACTCTCCAAGATGGATTATATTCAAGCCTAGTTGTGATCGATACAACTAATGCAATAAGGATGGATAGATGTGTGTTTTTAAAATAAAAAAAGCAAAATATCAAAAGATTTACGATCAGTTATATTAATTTTCAATTCCTCATACATTGATTGTTTGGTTTGTGTTCAATCGTGTACTTGGCTCTTGAGGATCTTGATGTCGTTGATTCATTCTTCACTCATCAGTACTTCAGTGAACTTGGCACTACCCTATGTACCAAAATATATTTGTATTAATTAAGGACATTCATTAGTCATTTGTAATAACTCAACGTCACACCAGATATAATGATTGATATGATCATATGAATTTAGATAAATACATTTTATAACAATCATATTGAGGTCAAGTCAATACTAACATAGATCTTACTAGACTTTGGGTTTCGAATATCAATAATGTATATGAATAATTCTAAGATTGTGTATGAGAAATACTTTTCAAAATATACGATTTCATCAGTTTTGGGATAATCCGAGAAAATCGATTTTGAAATGCTGGCCTATTCCAAATCATAAAACACAAAATTACCATCTTGATCCCTCCCGCTTCCAAGGGGGTTGCCCCAATTCTAATACCTATGTTTTTGGTGTAACTTTGTTTTTCACAGGTTATACATCTCAACACTCCTGGTTCTTTGACTTTTCTTAAGAAGTGGAGGGTACAAAATACGAACAAGAAAAAACCATAGTAGAATATGTGAACACTAAAGGAGCAAACGACCATTAATTCGCATCTCCCTTATGCAACTCTTATGGGAAAAAATATACTTAAATGTTTGATATTTTTTTTTATTTGAGCTAGTAATGATTGATGAATATACTAAAAAAAACAATAATGATACTAACTTGGTGAATTTAACATCTAATAATTAACCGGTCCGTTCAAAAAAAAAAAAGAGGGGGAAAAAAGAAAGAAAAAGGCTAAGCTAAAACATTGAAAAAACTAATTTGTAACTTATGAAATGATATTTAATAACTTAAAAAAAATAATTTGGTTATCAAATGGTATTTAATAAGAATTTCTCCAATGGCTAAATTATACAAGACTTAAAATAAATATCACAATAAATATCACATCATTAAACTTGTAACTTCAACTTCAAATTAAATATCATCCCAATGGTTAACTTTTTATACAACTTATTTTGTAAATTTAACTAATTTATCTCAACTATCTAAAATATTTTATAAAACTCCTCATAATTATTAAAATTTACTATAAGTATTAATATATTTGTTATGATTTGTATTAAACTTTATTATGATTTGTAATATATAAATGTTTGTAATATATAAACTTTTATTTAGAAAAATAAAATATATTCGAAACTTTAATATAGTTAAAAGGGTAGTGTAACATACACGTTCAGTTATCGTGTTTTGTTTAAAAATGAATATTATTAAATAATATATGATTTTGAATGTTGAGTTCTAACAAGATAGTTTTATGAGATTGAAGTAAAACTATGTTTAGAATCATTCGTAAAGTATTGGAAGTCTTATGAGATTCCAATCAAAAGTCAATTATCGAAATTAACGAAAATATAAAGTTGGAAATAAGTAAAAATAATGTTATTGAAAGTTGTAGATTATCTCGTTAGAAACATTTAGGCGCAAACCTCATCGAAATCCGAGTTATAACAAAGAAGTTATGACTTATTGAAGTTTCGCGACAGAACCGGTACGACGCCGTATGATGTAAAAAGTGAGTTTATGATAAACTACTTTTTAGCCTTAGTGATCTAAATGAAAGTCGTAGTATTCATTAAACCGAGAATTTTCATCAAAAGAACGTCCAAATCTGACTTCGTATAAGGAAGTTATGATTTTTCCAAGATTCGGTATAGCAGTAGACAACTAAAAACTCGAAATTAAGATCAAGTGATTTTTAGCCGACACAACCTAAACGAGAATCGAATGTCTCGTTAATAGTAGTACAACGGTAAAAAGACAGACGAAATTGGATGTCAGATGAAGAATTAATGGATTTTTCATGTTCCGGCCCGTTAAAAATATAACTTTAAAAATAAAGTCAAAATTAGCCGACGGAGTCTAAACGAAAGTTGTAGAGCATAATTTCACCTACGCGTGCATATAAAGAACATAAAAAACGGAGCTTGTATGCGAAAGATACGAATTTTTGAAGTTTAGAAATTCGGAGTACGCCCAGCATACAGGAGTACGCCCAACGTACTCGTGTTCACGGTCCGAGATTGGCCACGGCGCCTATTCCTCGCAATCGACACGTATCACGCAGGTTCGACACGTCTAATGCCACGCATCAGGGTACGCCCAGCGTACTAAGCTGTACGCCCAGCGTAATGTCTAATAGAGCGGTACGCCCAGCGTAATTCGGGTTTCAGCTACTATAAATAGAAAGCAAGACCTCCGGGTTTTTGTTTACAAAATCTTTTCTCTCTCACTCTCTACTTCTGCTCTAGCTACTTTTAACCCCCCGAGGTCCCAGTATCATCTCCGACACCCGAAACAAGTCCCGACGCTCCGATGTTCCTGAGAAAATCATAATTTCAAGTCGAAACTCTGCCCGCGTAAGGCCGGTTTTCAACTAAAATTCCCCGTTTTCATCAAAGAAAGTCATTTTTAGAGGCGAAGTGCTGCCCAAATTCCCCGTTTTCATCAAAGAAAGTCATTTTTAGAGGCGAAGTTCTGCCCAAATTATCATTTTTATCAATCGATTAATTCACGGTGAGTTCAATATATAGGAACAATTGTATGTTATGTGTTATATGTTCAATGTGCTTTCCTGTGTTATTCTGGTTTTATACCTTTGACTATTGTGACAACCCGTTGTTTCTTTTAATAAAGCTCTAATCTCCAAGTATTTTTATTCAATATAAATGCAAAGTTATGGGATACCATGTTGAATTAGGATGGATAATCTTCATATTTAACATAAAATCACATATGATTAGTCCTAACACACACTAGTTCAAAGTTATAAGGGTTAGTTTGGAATTAATACAAAGTTTAAGGCTTGTTTTCACCCAAAAGAGGGTTTACGGCCATAAAACACTCCATAAATGATGTTTACGGCCAAAGAACACCCCATAAAGGGTGTTCACGGTCCCTTCATTAAAAAGTGATGTTGTTTACGGTCCAAGTCAAAAAGGAAACATGTGTTTACGGTTCATTTCAACCGTAAACACCCCCTTTAATGGGCTAACTTTCATTTTAAGCCCAATAAGCCAACCGTAAACACCTTAAGCCCAATTTCTTTCCAACCGTAAACACCTCCTATATATATGGTTTTACACTCTGATTAATTCATTTCACCCATTTTCAACCGTAAACACCCTCAAAACTCTCTCAATTTTCAAGTGTGAACAGTGTCAAATTCTCTCAATCTTCAAGTGTTTACGGTCCCATTCCTTCAAATCTTCAAACAATCCACCAAGAACATTCATATTCACCTTCAAATCTTCATATGACATTCAAATCTTCATAAATATTTATGATCCAACCGTAAACTCCAAGCATCCAACCGTAAACCCATTTTTCAACCGTAAACCCACTTTTCCAACTTTCCAATTTAATCCCCACATATTTCCAATTTATTTGTAAGTCCCCTCATACTTAAATTAATTATTTAATACATCAATTAAATTAATAATATTATTATTAATTTAAATGCGACGTCAAATATAATTATTTTAGGGCAACGTTATTAGTGCGTACGCATACCCGGGAGATCGTCGCTGCAACTCGCTAACTCCAATTAACGCGCATTCAAGGTGAGTTCATACCCCTACGTTTCTAAATGTTTTTAATATTTTTAGGAGGGGAATACAAGTAAAACACAAAGGTCTATTGTGTTATACAAATATTTTAAATATTTCATAAACCTTTGCAATAGTTTCGTAACGAGTATTCACTACATATCCTAAAAAAATTTATATATTTTAACCCTTTTGTAATATGTCGAGCATAAGGATATTCTACTTTTATACATTTAAATTGCAAATGTTTTCAATACTCTACATCACGTTTTCAGGACATTACAGAATAATACAAATGAACTGTAATTGGTATAGTTTTGAAATTTATTACGAACTCTACTATGAACAATACACAGAAACAAAACATTCACGCAAACTATAATAGGTATGGTTTGGGATTTCAATACACAATTTTACCATCTCAGGATTATACATTAACACTCATATAAACTATGACGTATATAGTTTATGGTATACATTACTACTATCTGAATACAAGAGTATCATACTAAATAATTATTGAAGTATAATTATTTATACTCTACAAAACATACATTTAGATTCAAGTACAAGTGTGCATTACATTACACGTAAACTAGTTAATACAGGGTTGTGAGACATCACTTCAATTGTACCCTTCGGGGTACGGGCTAAATCCTATCATAGTATAACCAGAGTCTCTTGGAGGGAGAGCGTGAAATTTGTGAATAGATCTATTCGGGACTGACAATCTCACACCTAAACTGCTAGCTACAGTTAGGCAGACATGTTTGGGGTGACAAATATCATACCGTCCGACGCCTGAAGAACGTCGTAGAGGTCATCAGTCATATCAAGCATGGTTATACGACTCACAATAGTATAAACTAACCTTTGTTTACGGGATTTCATTTCTTCATTAGTTTTATTTTAATTAATATAACTATTATACACTACACTGGAGGATTCCAGGGATTTCAATTCATGGTTTTATTTTAAGTAATAAAACTACTATACATACTGGTGGTAACCAGAGTTTTCAAACAGAACATTGTATACATTACTGGTGATAGCCAGGGTTTTCATACAAAGGGTTTTCATTCAAAAGCAACGATATACGATACACCTGGTAGTAACCAGACGTGCTAGTTAATACTTCATGGAATACAGTAACAAACTTATATGTTAGAAAATATTAGATTTTCTTGGGAAGCATACAAACATTTTTATACAGACTTCAATGACAGGTTTTCATTACAAAAAAATTCTTATGAACTCACCAGCTTTATGTTGATACTCCTTTCAAAACTGCTTGTATTCTCAGGAAATCAGTAGACAGGTACTCCAGCATCATTTTGAGAAGACGGAGCGTATAGAGTCACGTCTTTATATTTTGCTATACTTTTGGTGTATACAAACTATGTATCAAACAGATGTAAATACCCTATATATATTCAATGTAATGGTTGTGTTTACTTTGATTACTACGATGCAATTGTTGTGATACTTTACATGACGTCCTCCACCCCAGAACGTTTCCGCTGTTTCGGTTTGGGGGT